TGGAGAGGATTTATGCTGTGGGTGTAACCAAGTAGCAGCACGGCCTCGGTGGCTGCCAGCTCCATTCTGTTTGCTGCTCTGCTTTGGGGGGAGTTTTTGTAGATTCCTGCTAAAAAGAACCCCCAGCTGGAGTTGGATGAGGCACAAATTCACCTGTTCAAGCTGGACACACGGAGACCTTGGATTTCTCTGCCTGAAAGGTTGGTTCTGGAAACCAGGATTTTCTGTGGGTTGTCTGGATTTTTCAGGGTTTTCTGTGTTCACAGAAATCCACAGAAATCCTTTCCTCTGGCTGGCTCTGGGTAAGGATGTTCCAAACCTGCTGGAGATCCATCTGACAGGGAAACAGTCCCTTGTCCACAGGGAGAGGATCTGTGTGTGTGCCTGACCCCACAGCAGGGCAGGGCTGTGCAGGGGGGCTGTGGAACATCCCCTCCCCTGGATCTGTGGAACATCTCCCCTGGATCTGTGGAACAGCTTCTCCCCTGGATCTGTGGAACATCCCCTCCTGTGGATCTGTGGGACAGCTTCTCCCCAGGATCACAGCACAACTCAGGGCTCAGATCACGAGCATTTAATCTGAAGCCAGTGCCTGAAATAACAGGAGAGCAAAAACCCTGGCAGGGAGCAGGATGTGTGGAAGAGGAGCACAGATCCCAGAAGACAAAAATCTCCAGGGATCCCTCAGCCTCACCCAGGGAAAATGACTCTGGGATCTTTAAGCTGATGATCTCCACAAGCCTGAGAGCAGGAGCAGGACACTCAGTGCTCGGGGTGCCCCTGGATCGCTGGCAGTGCCCGAGGCCGGGCTGGATGTTGGCGCTGGGAGCAGTGGGAGGTGTCCCTGCCATGGATGGGGTTTGGAAGGGTGGGTGAGGACACTCTGCTGCTCTGGGCCGTGCGAGGGGAGCAGGGCAGGGCAGGCTGGCAGCGCTGCCTTCGTGTCCCCTTTGTGTGCCAGCCTTGGCTTCGCTCCGACCGGGGAACCCTCCAGGACTCCTGAAACAAAAAGCAGCCCCAGGCAATCCCGTGTCCATCAGGGAGGGCAGCCAGAGCTCCCTGACCAGAGCCAGATGGCAGAGAGAACATCTCTGCTCGTTCTTGCGGTGTCCCTGGTGGCAGAGCACTACTGCTCTCACCCTGCCCGTGGTGGATAAAAGGATGGAATTCTGCTGTGGGACTGGGCTGGTCCAGGGCTCCCAAGCCAGAGAAGCACCCGGGGGATGCTGAGCAGGGAGAAGGAGGGAGCTCTCTGCCCTTGGAGGGTTTTATTCCCTTGGGAGGGACAGGGTGACAGCCCCAGCCTGTTCCAGTCGCTGTCACCCCACGGTGTCCTCAGAGCAGGTGTCCCCTGAGCGTGGGGGAAAACCTGGAACCATCCCCAACTGGCAGAAAGATGCTGAAAGTGTTTCCTTTTTTAGAGGTGTTGAGGCACAGAAAAACCTCCAGGCTCTGAATAAAACCTCAACTTCTCACCCTCTAAATCACTTTAAAATGGGACTTCAGGCATTTGAGTCTCAGTTCCAGATTGCTCCACACAAACCTGGGGTCCCAAATCACCAGGGAATTTTGGGAAGCTGCAGCAACCCCTGAACAGGGGTAATTAAATCTGTGAGGGCCTTTGGGGAGGTTCACCCAGTTTAAGATGACTTTGCTGTGGATTTCCCCCCCTGGCTCCTGAGCATTCCAGGGATGGGGCAGCCACAGCTCCTCTGCCAGGCCCTGGAGCAGCTCAGGCTCGGAACCCCCACGTTCCCTCCCCTTTGGGGTCACTCAGCTCCTTTGGGGTCACTCAGCTCCTTTGGGGTCACTCAGCCCCTTTGGGGTCACTCAGCTCCTTTGGGGTCACTCCTGGGGTTGATGCTTTGATCCACCCCCAGCTCCCAGGGCTGGAATTGGGGCCCAGGTGTGACCCCGAGGCTGCTCTGTCCCCATGGCCCGGGACAGGACATTTGTCCCCTCCTCGCCTTGGTGGCTTTTGGCAGAGCCGGGAGCTCCGCTGGGCTCGGCAACACTTCCACCTACAGAGGGAACCCAGAACGGCAGCGGGAACAGCTCGGCATCCCGGGAATGAGGGACAGGGAATCTGGGAATGAGGGACAGGGAATCTGGGAATGAGGGACAGGGAATCCCGGGAATGAGGGACAGGGAATCTGGGAATGAGGGGGACACAGAACCCCGGGAATGATGTGGGACACAGAATCCCCGGGAATGATGTGGGACAGAATCCCTGGGAATGAGGGGGACACAGCACCCCTGGCGCCCCAGGGGATGGGGAAGCTGGGATGTGTCTGCAGGGTGGGGCCACGAGCCCCTTGCTCTCTCCAGCAAACCCATCCAGGAGGATTCTCCATCCTGGGACAAAAATGGCCCCTTTGTGCCAAGTTTTTTCCTTCCACTGGAATATAAAGACTTTTTCTTGGGGCCAGCTTTACTAATTTGAACTTTTTGTTTTAATGGCCCTGCTGGGCTGTGGCCAGGAAGGAGGAGGGGATGGAAAGATGTTTCCTTTGCAGGAGTGCTTTTTCCAAAGGGGGATGTGATTGCCAGCCCGGCCAGGAGGCTTTGCTTCCTGCCCTAAGGAGCTTGGAAGCTACAAGGAGCATGGACAGGACAGTCACAGACCTGGCCTGATGTGAAATCCTGGATTTCATGAGCATTTCCTGGCAGGAGCAGCAACCAGGGAGAGATTCCCTGGAAAAGGGGATCACCTCACCTGCTGCCACTCACCTGTGGGTTTGGGGGTGATTGAAGCCTTGAGAGGGACCTGTTGGGCCAATTTCCATCACAAATATTCTCCGATTGTTCATTTTTTCTCTTCCCAAACCATTCAAAGCTCCTGGTCCATGCTCTTCCTTCCAGTATCTCTAACAAACCTGAAAGGACAGACAGAACAGTTTGGATGAAATACCTTGAAACCTTTGCATCTTTTTGTTGAAAATTAGTAAAAAGTTTAACAAAATCCTTTTTTTCCAGAGAAAAAGCAATTCTGGGGGTGAAAGCCACCCAGGCAAAGCCCTGTGCTCAAGAACAGGCTGGGACATTTCCCAGATGTTCAGAGCCCAGCGGCAGCTCCTGATTTCCAGCAGCGTGCCAGAGGCTGCAGCATCACCCAGGGCAGGAATCCTCCACATTTCCCAGGAAAATTGTCTCGGCTGCTGAGAGAAGAGCAGAGCGTAGCCTCAGGTGTCTCCTGGAGGGCAGCACGGCTGCTTGAAGTCCATCAGCCCTGTCAAACGATTCATTTGTCACTCAGAGCTCCATGACAACACAGGGAAACTTCAAAATTCAGGGATACTTGCAAGTGTTGGGAGAGGCAGGAGCTGTGGTGCAGGGACATTTCAGGTGTGGTGCCCTGCAGGGAATGGGGCATTCAGGGCCCTCACTGTGAGCTGTCCCTTGTGTCCCTGGTGAACCCACAGGGCCTGGGGGCTGTGACTGCACCTGGCACCTGCAGCTCCTGCTCACGATCAGCTCCTGCACGTCCCAGCCCTGCTGGGCTCCAGGGGCCCTCCCTGCCCGGGCACTTTTCCCAAGGAGCCCTCCCTGAGCTCCCTGCCGGGCTGCCTGGGGGAGCAGGAGCTGCCCCACACCCCCAGCTGCTCAGGAAGGGAAGCTCTGGAAGCAGAGGGGTCACAGTGCTCACACAAAGCCAGGGCTGAGCCCCCCGTGGCTCACTCCAAACAAACCCCAAAGCCAAGGCAGTGCTGCTGCTGCTCCAAACCCAGGGATTTCTCTCTGCTCCGGGCTATCCGAGCATTCCTGCCTGGGGGAAAAGGCTCCTTCAATTTCCATAGCAACAAACATTTTCCTGAACGCAACACACACAAAACTGTTGTTACAGACTGAAAACCAGCGGTAACCAAGAAACAGAAAGCAACAATTTCATCTTTTCCTCCTCCAGAATATGCAATTCCCTTTCTGCATCTCCAAGGGGCCCCAGCAGGACAGGGGGCAGGGATGTACCAACCCCGGAGCCTCTGCTCGGCTTTCCTCCCTCCCTGGGCTCGGCAGGGGAAGGACCCAGCCCCAGCAGCAACAGGAGACGCATTTTGGGACCTGAGCAGGACAGCAAACACCTCTCACCTGCAGGACCCAGGGACCTGAGCAGGAGAGCAAACACCTCTCACCTGCAGGACCCAGGGACCTGAGCAGGAGAGCAAACACCTCTCACCTGCAGGACCCAGGGACCTGAGCAGCAGCTGAAGAATCAGATGTGATTCCTCCTCGCTCCTTTCCAGGCTCAGCTCCAGGAATGTCCCAGCAGCTCCTGCTCTCAGAAATGGAACCCCAGCAGCTCATCCCACTGCACTTCACAGCTCTGGGACCATTTATTCCCACTGCTGCACCTCCAGGAGGACTCAAACACCCAAAGCCTGCCCACTCTTCCCCTCCCATCCACACCTCATGTCCCACTCAGGCACAAGGACCAAAGCCGTGTAAGAAAACCAAGTTTAGTTTCCACACATTTGGCATCCAACAGGCAGTAAAAAAAAAAAAAAAAAAAAAAAGCTTTATATTTTATTTCTTGTAAAAATCTTTGAACACATGCAGACTAAAACCAGTGTAAGAAAGTCTCCACCATGTTTAAACAAATAACTATACTTAAATATAAGCGTCTGCAATTGACTGGTATAAAAATAAGGTACGTTTTGCTTTTTTACAGAAATCCTTTCTCCAGTTCTCAGCTCAATAAACAATACACAACTCTAATACATACAGTGAACCTGATCGTTTGCCACATCTGGGATACTGCTAAGGTATTATGTGCAAAAGTTGATAACAGTTTCTTTCCCAAAAGAAAAAAAACTCTTCTACACCTTTTAGAAAACCAGATGGGGGTTGCAGGTGCTGCAGCCCTGGCGGTGCCCAGCAGCCCGAGGCTCGGTGCCAGGGGCTGGAGCTGAGCCAGCCCTGCAGTTCTTGGGGCTGAGCTCAGCGGAAGAGCCGGGCTCAGCGGAAGAGCCGGGCTCAGCGGACGAGCCGGGCTCAGCGGACGAGCCGGGCTCAGCGGAAGAGCCGGGCTCAGCGGCGGGGCCGGGCTCAGCGGACGAGCCGGGCTCAGCGGAAGAGCCGGGCTCAGCGGAAGAGCCGGGCTCAGCGGCGGTGCCGGCCATGCCCCGAGCGGCCGCTGCTGTGGTGCTTCCCGGCCTTGTGTGAGCGCTCGAAGGAGCGCGAGCGCTCGCGCCGCTCCCGGTGGTGGCCGCGCTCGTGCCGGTGCTTCTTGGCCGCCTCCGAGTGCTCCCGGGATTTGCTCTGCGAGCGGGAGCGGGACTTTTTCCGCTTGTGGCCGTGTCTGCTGGCGCCCTTGAGCTCCTCGCGGCCGTGCTTGGCCTTGGCGTGGGGCGAGCCGTGGTTGTGGTGCCGCCGGGGGCTCCCGCTGTGGCTGCGCGAGCGGCTGCGCGAGCGGGAGCTGTAGGTGCCAGACAGGCTCCGCCGGTTGTTGTAGCTGCGCGAGAGACAAGAGTTACAGAGGGAAAAGCAAACAGGAATCGGTGCTTACAGCTCCCCAAGTCACTGCAAAGTCAGGCTTTGACCCTCAGGGATAAGTGAGGGGGGGACAGGGAATGTCTCAGAAGCTGCCCCATGGAAGGCTGGGGTCACCGATGTGGGATTTAAAGTCCTTCCAACCCCAACCACTCTTGTGAGTCTTTTAGTTGAGCTCATTTGGAAATAAACAGCTCGAACTAAAAGGAGAATGCAGCATCTTTTGTCCACCTTGCCAAGGCTCCTCCATCAACACCAGATCGCTGATTGGGCGTTGCCTTTTCACCGAGATCCAAGTTGGCAGTTTCCAGCTTAGATGTCAGCCTGGAGATTCTCAGGATACCCCAACCTAAAGGCAGCAGCTCTCACTGCATCCCCCCTTCCTGTACCACGAGAGGGCAGAGCCACCAGGAGCCAGGCGCTGCACCAGGGAGCACTGACACAAGGACAAGCTGCACACCTGGGACACTCCCCTCCCCAGGGCACTGTGCTCCCAGAGACTGCTCTCACTGGTTATGGGATCCTTGTGAAGACAACCCCAGCCCAGCACAGACTCCTCAGGTACAGTGCAGTTAGGACAGGCTAATATTACAGCCTCATCTCTTAAAAGCAGCTCCACTCCCGGCACCGAGAGCCTCCCCCGTTTTGCTGGCTGGCACTCAGAGCGGCCCTGGCTCCTGGCAGTGCCTTGCCCTGCTGCAGCCCCCTGGATTTCCAGGGCAGAGTGTGACAGACCCCCCCCAGCCCCCACCCCACTCACTGCCTGCGGGGGCTGTGCGAGCGGGAGCGGGACTTTGTCCGGGAGCGGGAGCGGGAGGCGCTTCTGCTGCTGCGGCTCCTCTTGCTCTCCTTGCGCAGCCTGTGGGGCACAAACCAAACTGCTCAGGCACTGCCACAGTGCCAGCAGCCCAGCAGCAGCTCCCTGCACTGCAGCTGAAAGCATCTCTACTCCAGTGTTCTCCCATCAGGAGTTGTACCTACCCATTGTAAGGGCTCTTTGAGGTTTGCTGCCTCTCTTCAGGCTCTTTCTTAATGGTTTTGGTATTCACAGACACTGGAGATTTCTCCTCAGCTTTTACTTCTCTTGGGGAAGCTAAGAATTAAATTTCAATTCAAATATTAGTTCTTTATTCATCCTTTGTCATAAACACACTGTACATCCTTTGCACCAAGTGTAGGTATGAACTCTACATCTATTATTTCATCCCATTTCTCCATTTATATTCACTCCTGGAATGGGATATTCATGGGGAAGCCCTCTGCCCATGAAGGAGGAACAGCACTGGGACCTTCAGAGCACACAGTCAGGCTCACCTAGGGCCAAAAGGTACAAAATAGAAACTGTCTTTGTGCCCCCCACAATACAGAACTTGTTACCTTGCCATGTATTTACAATGCTACAGAAAGGATTAAGCCAGCCTGGCAAAATTACAGATTTCATCTTTACATTAATGGCACAAATACAAATGAGTAACAAATAAAATTACCTAGTTAAGAAGTCAATTTGCCTCTAGACAGTTGGTACAGCCCAGAGATGGATTCACCTTTCATGGAAGGGCTGTTAAACCCACCACAGCTCCTGCTTTCAAACTTCCAACCTCAGCTCCCTCCTCACAGAAAACACTCCCCTTGTTCTGTGAGAAACTCACACTGCCCAGCCCAAAGAGCTCTGAAAACTCAGGGCTCTTCAGGAGAAGCTCTGAGAGTTCAGGCAGACTGGCCAGTTTAAAATGCATGTTCCATTTAATTCCCTCTGATGCCAAGGCAGTGCTGGGCCTCTCCCCCCTCCATTTCCTGCCCAGCAGCTGTCTGCCTTCACTGCACCAAACCAGCTGCCAAGGACATGAAAAACAACCAGGGGAAGGAATTTTCACACATACCTGCTGCTAAAGGGGCTATGGAAGCTACTGCAGCACCCCCAAATTCAATCCAAAAAGCCTCTCTTCACATCACAGAACACACAGCAACTCCAGCTGCATTATCTCATTCTCTTAAGGGTGCATATTATTAATATATCACTCTCTTATCTGGGGAAATATGGACTAAAGCACCTCCTTTATTTCTACTCTGGTTTCAAGGTTTTGAGACTAATATTAAAATCTATGTTAAAAAAAAGATTTTTCTGTTCAAAAAACAGACTTACATGGTTTGGATGCAGGAGAAAAGCCACCCAGTGTTGAGAGTGCTGGAGTTCCATCTGGATTTAAACCTTTTGCCTTCAGTTTTGCCTCCTGCAGTGCCATTTTCCTCTTTTCTACTTCTTTATCCAGAAACTCGTAATTGGGCTGTGAAAGTAACAACCAGGCAAGAAGCTGAACTAACATAATTCGTATTTCATCTCATTTCTGAAAAATCTGTCCAGATCTTGTAACTGTAACTTTTATTTGTTCTCTCCTTAGAGGAGCCCTTCCCATTAGCACACCTGTATCAGGCATTCCCAAACTTTTCTGGGCAACCGTAGCTCAGCTCAAGCTGCACTGAGCATTGAGCAGCAAAACCCAACGTGTCAAGCTCACCTTCTTTCTGGTATAAAGCTTCAGAGTTGTTAAGCAGATCTCCTGTATCTCCTCTTCTGTGGTGCCAAAGAGCAGGAACCAGTGGGGACGGGTAGGCAGTGGGATCTGAAAATCACACAAGGAGAAGCTTCATGGAGATTTCAGGTCAGGTTTTGTTGAAATGTTTCCATCAATTTCCTTGAAAGCAGAACAGCAGCACTGAAAGGCAGAGCTCAGGGCAGCCAGGGCTCACCTGCAGGGCTCTAGCAGCGAGGTAAATGCACGCACACGCGATGGTCTCCGGCTGGAAGCGAACAAACACGTTCGTCCGGAGGCTGTCGTTCATGTAATTCCTGAGAAAACAAAGCAGCCCAGATTGGAACTCCAGTTTGCTTTTCTTTTAGAGGATAACAATACTGGAGACTCAATTGACTTTATTATTTTTTCTGTTGTTACATTGAACATGTGATTTCTTCCAGGTGGTGCTGGATGTTTACATGTGTCACTCTGTGGCAGTTTGCACCACTGCCACTGCTTTAAACCCTGAGGCAATAATGTGCAGCAGTAAATCCAGGCAGGGTGGAACAGCCACTTCCTAGGTTCAGTGACCCTGGGAAGTGTCCACCGAGTTACAATTCGACCAGAACTTTGCATCTGTCCAGCTGATTGTCTTAATCACCAATGGGTTTGTATTTAAAAATCAATGTAGAACTCAAGAGCCATCAGGAGAGCAAGGTGTATTTTCAATCTGCCATTATGCAGAGGCTACCTGCAGAGCTCATAGAACTCTGACTGCATTTCCATTTGGTGTGCTTGGAGTCACTTTAACTCCATCCAGGAGAGGCACCCCATGTGCTCACTGAGTGTTGGAACAGACCTGTGAGTTAGAACTGGGCCCCTGAGCTCCTGCTGGTGCACAGGGCTGGCACTGCCAATGGCACATGCCCAGAGCTCCATGGATTTCTAAATTCCCAGCATGGGAGAGAACAGCAGTCAGTCAGTGAGGACTCTACACCCCCATGCCCAGCCTGGCTGCTAAGTGAACATGCTGCATGCACTGTCCTGTTTAATTCAAGTTTAAATGGCAAATCAACTAAAGAAATGCTGGCAGAATGGTCCCCCACGTGTCCTTTAACAAACAGCAGGTAGGCAACAAAGACATTGAGAAACAGTTGTAACAGTTACTTCTAGAACCAAATATACAAATCCTGGCGCCAGGACAGAACTAGGAGGTGCTGCCCGATGGCTTTGGGTGACGGCAGTGAACTCGCTGAGGCTTGCACTGGCTTGGCTGGAGAGAAGGGCAGCCAAAGCAGCCATCCCCAGGTCATGGGCTGAGGTGCAGAGGGCAGAGCTCTATGACTTACCAGCAGGGACTACCCTTCAATCAAAGAGTAGAAAAAAGAACAAAGTTAAATTGAGTTCTCCATCGCCCCGGTGGAATCAAGCCATGAAAATAGTAAGCAGAAACAAGCACCAGGAGATTGTCCAAATGTGTTTGGGTGGTAACTTACATCTCATTGCTTTGCATAGGGATCAGCAGGCTTGTTATTTCTGCTACTATTTTCCTGGCTAGGGAAAGAATGGAAAAATAGCAACTTACCAGGCTGTCTGTACCAGGGTTTGATTACGTTCACATTCTAGGACTTGTAAATACATAACAATGATCTGAGGAATAAGGAGGGGGGGAAAAGAGAAAAAAGACTCAGTTTCAACACATAAAGCAGGAGTAAGGAAGCAAATATATAAAAATGTAAAAATAAAATCCAACAATGTGCCCAAACAATGGGGGCTCCTCTCCAAGCACACACTCTAAGCCCTCATGTCACTCCATCACCTTCAGACAGCTCTTCAGTTCACTGCTTTTCAAACCAGCCACCTTCACCCTTTCCCAGGGAAGTGACTTTTATCACAGTCAATAAAGCTGTTTGCCCAAGTACTCTGGCAAAAGCATTAATAACTACAGGGGAATAAAGAGAATAATTCAGCTCATTCTGACACCTGTGTTTCTTGTTCCACAGCTCCCAGTGACGCCACCAAGGTAGAGTAAGAATTACAATTACATTATTATTGAGAACTCACCTTATGAGGATGCTTGACATGAACACAAAATCCCAACTCCTTCAGTACCCTCCTTTCTGCTTTGATTACTTGATTTTTGGTGTTTATGTAGTTCTGATCAAGTATCAGGGGGCTTGGAGTCCTATAGTTTGCAAGAAATAAAATCAAAACTGTTTTGCATATCCAAAAACAACGGCAACTCTGTTTTCCCTTCCAACCAACTAATGGCAACAGAAACCGGTTTTCAACTCCTGCAAGCAAGTTTAAGCATTAATCTTGTGCTGTCCAAGTTTAGATAAACTAGTTTAGTTGCTGCTTTTGGCTAGCTACAGATTAGATGGCTGAGACAAAAAAAAATAACCTTCTGCTCCTGTGTATGCAAACTGCACTGCTCCAGCTGCTGGAAGGAGTTGGCTTGATGGGGGCACTCCCAAGAACTTTTCCTCTCCGTGGCAGAGGTGGCAGAAGGAGTCCTTTGCCAGGCAGGATTTCAAAGTAGAAGTAAGCCAGAACAGGCTTCTCACTGGCATTAAAGTAGCAACTCGTGCTCTAGAAATTGCAGTTTCCTAAGCACTGAAGAGCAGCTGGTTCACCCTTCAGAGAAGCCAGCCCTGCCCTGTGATGTGTGAAAAGCTGAGTGAAGCACAGAATTAACCTGGGAAACAGGCACGGGTCTGCCTGGGACTCTGGTCCTCTCTCTGGTGGTACCAGGGATGACCCTGCTGCTGTTTGCATTTGCAAAACAGCTCATTTCAGAGAGATTGCAAACTCCAGCACTGTCAATCCTAATTCCTTCCAAATCCAACCCCTGAACTGTCCACAGCATGTTTAATCACAGTAACCTTCTGTACACCTGATGCACAAGTGTAACGCTCCATTGCATATTCTGTGCTTTATCCTTGGTTAGACTTGACCTTTCCACATTCCACATGGGATATTTTAATCCACTTCCTCCTGAAGACAGACCAGCTTTTTCCCTGTAATGTGCCTCACACATTCCATGTGCTTTCCAAAGCAGAATAATGTTTTATGCAGCTCGTTATGCTCTAATAAACCATGGTCTGTGTACCTGATACACCCCAAGCACTGGTGGCAAATTTATTTTACATTACCTTCAGTAGAAAAAAAAAGTAATGCAAAGTGGATTCAAAATACAGCTTTTGTTGTATCAGACAAAATATTTCACTGCCAACTTGCAAATTCCATGAGTGGATCTCACTTCCCTGCTAGGTCACAGAACAGAAAAAACACTCAAAAAACCAAGGTTCCCACCCCAGGAAGAAAGAGTCAATTTAATGACAAGGCTGGAATAATCCAGTTTATTCCACAACCTCTGCAGTCACCTGGACAGGCACCGATGGCCATGGGCAAAGGACACAACAAACTTCTTTATTAAAAGCATCTTGTTGTATCACCATGCACTTGAAGCATGAGCTGTCCCTGCCCTTCCAAGGGGCTGAGATGCAGCTCCCAGCTCTGGAATGAGCAACTGCAGCTCCCTGGTGCCAGGATGGACCTGCAATTCCAGTACTGTCTCATTATATGAAATGCCAGGTTTTCCACCTTCCAGCAGAGTAACTTCTCTAGTTAAGTGTTACTCTCTCTCAGCAGGGCAGGTTTAAAAAGTTTTTCATTCCAGCTCCTATGAAGAAGCCCAAAATCAATAGATTTTTTTTTCTTTTGTTTATGGTTGGTAATTTTTCTTTTCTCCCCATAAATTAACTGAAGAAGAAAATATTTTCAGACCTCTCTAGGGTAACTACTTCAGTGAGGAGCTGATTTTGTCTGAACACTTCAGCACTACAGAGACAGGCTGATCACACTGCTCTGGAGTGGGACAGTGGAACAAGCAAGTTTAGTTCTTCCCATCAGTGAAGCTGATTCACTTCCAGTTCACTCCCATCAATTTTACTGGTGTTGATAACATTTCCTTCAGTATTGCTCCCCACAATTTCATCTCAAGATCACGAGCATGAACAGGATGTGCAGAGCAGCACCCAGAGCGAGTTCAGGTGTCCAGGCTGTTTGTCAGCAGAAAGCTGCATCACAGGTGGGACATCTCAGGTTTAACACTCAGGAGAGCCATGACTTGCAGTCTATTAAAGCAATCTCCAGTGGCAGTGCTCAGGATCATGCACCACCCCACCTTCCACATGTCCCTGCATTCCCTGAGAACTCTGGACGGAAGTTAAGGTGGCTCCAAGCGCAGCAGGACAGAGGGGAGCCTTTACTGCAATTACAGGGTTGCTCTACCCTGCTGTCCCATATTCCTTTGGTCACAAGCCCTACAGCCCTAAGGAAGCCATGAAAACCATCAGTTTATCCAGCCAGGACTTCCAGACAAATACAGCCTTTTATCCTCTCAAGGGAAAAAAAAAATCTGCAGGAGACTTAAGTGTTTTACTGCACCTTATTACTGGCACAAGCCACGCTCTCCACTGCATTGATTCACCAATTTAATACTTTTGCCATCAACTCTGCAATGTCAGTAAACAATTATTTACAAGTCAGAAACTTCAGATTCCCCTTTGAAAAACTTCTTTGTTTTCTACTAAGAAAAAAAGAGGAACTTTGCCAGTGCATTTGCTGCACTTAAATTCTCAGTCCAAGAATTATCCTGGGGCCAAGAAACAAACCAGAGAAAAAGAATTTATAAGCTTATATATGAAATACAAGCTTCAAACCCTGTATAGCCAAGGAGTGTTACAAGTTCCTACTTGGAATCTGTTCCTACAGACCAGCACTGGAGCTCCAGGCAAGACTTTATCTTTAGAACAGAGCACACAGTGGCCCCTCTGGGAAGTCAATCCAACACCTAAGATGCAAAACTTGATTGGGATTTAGATTGTGTAACAACCCAGAAGATTAACACACACTGTGTTTTTAACAGCAAATAAATTAAAAATACGTTTTCTTAAAATCACTCTGAAAAATGAGACCTAAGTTCTCCACACAGTTTCAGCTTCATTTGGTGTAATATTAAACTTTGATGTCTTTGGCATGACTAATACTTGGAGGAACAGTGCCCTGCATGGAGTTTTGCTCCTAATGAGCAAAGCACTTGTGACAAGTACAGCAGAGCACCAGCACCTCATTTCAAGGAGCAGAGATCTGTTATGCTGGTCAGTAAAAGAACACCAGTTCTCTGTTTGTCTCCAGGATCACAAGCACAAGCAGCACAGGTTTGCAGGCAGTCTGAAGGCACTAAGAACGTGTGTCATTAACGCAGCCCCACTGCAGGGCCCCTGAGCGAGGAACAGCTGACTGAGCACCTCAAAGCACCATGTGAGATTACAGCACCACACGTGTCACATTTCCAGTCTCAGGACCTTCTGCAGCTTTCAGGCACAGTTAAAAGAAATAAAATCAACTTCAAACTACATTCTACAAGTTAAACAACAGTTGCACTTTGCTCAGAACAAAGAGGTTTTGGCACACAATATTTAAAAAGCAGTTTTTCCATAGTACGAGCTTTTCTCCATGCACACAAACATTTTTACATGCAGTTCTACATCACATATGCTCGTCAAAGATCCCAAAGAAAATATGCTTGTCCAAAACACTTGTTTAGCTTTTTCTTACTTCTCAGCATTAGAAATACCACCTTAGTTGACTACATATCTCATAAAAAGAAAATTCCAATGCAATTCCCAGTTCTGCAAACAGGTACATAGAAGGGACTGCTTACATCATAATTGATAAAAATGTACAAATTCAAGACTTCCGTACCCTTGTTTTACTGTGAATTCAAACTGCAGTTATACAGAGCCAGAAAGTGGAACTAAGAACCCAAAACTGGTTAAGAAAGAAAGCAAAGCCTACCCAAACTACCCCAAATTTGTGTGCAGGTTAAGAGCTTCAGTTAACAGAAATGCTAGACTAAAAAAGAAAGTACAGCAGCCTGTTTCAGTTCTGGGTTGTGTGTGAGAGACTAACTACAGCCTAAGTGTTAGCTTCAGTAAAAAATAATAAAAAAAAAGGTCAAGCTAGTATTCTAAAAACCTGGACAGCAAAGAAAAAAGCTTATAACAAGATACAGGAGTTCTTCCAAATGGTTCACCAGCGGCCAACCTGTTAGTCCCCCGATTCCAGTGACCTATGCTCAGAGCACTGGCTTCTCCTTGGGGATTTTCGATACTTCACTCACTGTTGCCATGACGACAGCTTCATCTTTATGTACCACTCCACATCACCCAGGCTTTGGTAAATGTAGCTGGTCGCTGTATAGTCGGTTGCAAGGGAAAAAAGAGTTGAAGTTAATAACGTGTACACGTGATGGAACTGTCAGCTTGTAAAAAGTACAGAAAAACGTTTACATCCTGCTTGCTAAAAAAAAAAAAAAAAAAGGGGTGTGTGTGCAAGTCTGAATACCAGACTGCAGCATTTTTAAGGTTAATTTCATGCAGATTCACTCAGAATCGCAGAGCAGCAATACCCATTTCTCCCGAAAATAATGGGTAGCAGTGCACGATTTCTCTGGACATGATGCACTTTAGGCACCACGTAACATGCACAAGTTGGGATTTGGAACAGGCTAGCTGGAAAGATTTAAATTCACAGGTTAAGTTCAGTTTCTCTGATTCTTCACACAGCACAAAGAAACAACTAATTTGTATTCTCGTTGCAAAGAAAAGCAAGGCATATGATTAATTAACCTTCACTGCCTGGATGGAGGCCAGAATGTTACTAATCACTGAGCCTGCTCCAGTAGTTCCAATAACCAGACTCCCTTAATAACTGTGGAAGACAATCCCACTGAATTCACACCTGGCATAACTTCACACAGCTCTCTCAGGGCCGTCAGGGAGAACAGCTTTAAAGGCCAGACAGAACAAAGCTAAATTCCAAAGTGTAACACCAACTCTTCCTTCTTGGATCTAGAACTAACTAGCACAACACCATCAGGAGGCAGTCAAAGCCAAAGCTCTGGCTTCAACAGAAGCATAACCAGAATAAAGACACCAACAAACAGCTGGCTTCCCTAAGGGATTTCTACTCTGTTTCTCAGAGAAGTCTGCACAACACAGGTTTAAATTCCTGCCATCACCTGGTGACGAAGGGCAGGGAAATAAAGTGTGAATTTCACACGGTAGCTAAAACAAAATCCTTTTGTAACTACAGAGTACCTGAAGCTTTAAGCAATCAGGCACCAGAAGCAAAGCTGAAGCCTCCAATCCTAGACTTTGACACTGCTGCCCGACAGAAATAAAGAAATTTTGTGTTTAACAGTAACCTAGAGAACTCCTTTCAACCACACCTTCCTCCTTTCAATGCATCACCAATTTGCACTGCAGTGAAAGACGCTGCTTTACACACAAAGAGCAGCACCAGGTGCTCACAACTGGGACAGCTCTACCCCGCCTGCACACGGCCAGGCGAGCCCCCTCTCCACCTGGGCAGGAACACGGCACCAGAACAACGCAGCTCTCGCTTTCTGCACCTAAAAACGCCTTCAGCCTCCCACACTCAGTTACACGCTTCTCACCACAGCAGGGCAAATCTGACCTTTCCTCAGGTACCTCCTAAAATGGCTTTTTCTAATAGGCAGCACTGTCACCACTTAAAGTTCAGCTTCTTAAAGGACACTTTCTTAGCACAACAAGGACACTTGGACAGCCACAGACCAAGGAGAGAAAAGCATCAACACTGCTGAGTATGGTTAAAAAAGTGGAGAATACACAGCAACTCACTAACTGGCTACTCACAACTAAGATTACCTTACAGTAACTACGAAACATCAAAAATTCAACAAACATACCTGAAACTACAACCGTGGTCCTAAAACTAAAACAAATACTTGCCAATCATAACTTGTAGCTAAATCAACAACGAAAACGGGTCTACCAAGTGAACAAAAGCAGAAGCAGCCGAGATTGCACTGTACTGCCTACACAGCAGCCAACGGGCACTCCCTTCTCAATTTTAGGTCGTTGAACTTAGCCTGGAAAAATACTGTGAATTGAGAACTGCAGCGTACATTAGTGGTAACAGGTGTTTATGCTCATAACGAAGCTGATCTTACCTTTTTGCTCTTAACTGCCGCAAGTGATGGAACACGTTGATCACGTCCCTTATCCGACGAGGCGCCTCTTCGATTTTGGAGGCGAGATTGATGCAGGCCATAGCAACAATCTGAAAAGAAGCCCCGTTTCCGTTAAGCAAACAATTTTCAGCCCAGATAAAAAGAGAATTACGTAAGTAAGAAGCAAATCCGTCAGGCTCGAAGCGAACGGCCTGTGTGGCGCGTGGCCGCCCCAGCCGCCCTCTCCCGGTGCCCCCGGGCCGCGCTCACCTCGAAGCTGTGTTTGACGAAGGACTTGGAGTAGAAGAACCGATGGAACAGCACCTGCCCCGTCGCCATGGCCACCTGTGAGGGCAGAGCAGGAGGAGGGAGAAGGAGCAGAGTCAGTGCCCTGGCCCAGCCGCCGCCATTTTGTGTGAGGCACCGCCACCCCCCCCGCGCCGCCTCACGCCCTTCCCGCCGCCACAATGGCGGCGCCCGACATTCCCTTCCCTTCCTCCCTCACCCCCCTGCAAGCCCCGGCAAGGGCCCACCTGCGGCAGCCGCAGCAGGATGCCGGCCGCCTGGATGAGCTCGCAGCCCAGGATGCGCAGGTCGGTCTCGCACTGCAGGTCCAGCCCGTCCTGCATGGAAGGGGTGGGCGAGAGCCGCTCCTCGGGGATCAGCGAGTGGTCGATGGTCAGCGACACCTCGGAGTAGAGCCGGTCGCCGATGAGGATGCCCGGAGCGGCGGGGGGCGGCGGGGCGGGGGCGGCGGGCGCGGCGGGGCCCGGGTGCGCGGCGGCCATGGCGGCGGAGCGAGCGCTGGGTCCGGGTCCGCTCCCGGCGGCGGCCGCGCGCCGACTGCGCGGCCCCGCGCGTGACGCACGCGCCAGCGCCGCGCGCGCGGGGGGCGGCGGGAAAAAAGAGTCCGCGGGACACGCCCCGGGAATGGACACCGGGAACGGGAACCGGGAATGGGCACCGGGATCGGGAACGGGCACCGGGACCGGCTGTAAACCAGTACAGAATAATGGAGTGTGCGCCGCAGCAGCGGGAATGGTGCCGGATAAACCGCGCTTTAACCACAGTCGTTGGGGTTGGAAAGGATTTTTCAGGATCAATCCAGTCCAGTCCCTGCCACAGGCGGAGACAAAGCACAGAATAAATAAATATTAAAATATATATATATATAAAATACAGAAATTCTTTCTAAGTGGTTAACCAGGGCTCGGGTCCTGCATCCAAGCCCTGTCTTTAAGTTTTTGGTGCTCGGAATATGTCACATCGGGAACCAAAAAATCCATGGATTTGAATAAAAATAAGGTGGTTGCGGCTTATTATTGACAAAAGGTGGGCTGCGCCTTTCCAGACTGGAAACGTCCAGCGGAAAGTTTATTTATTACGGGATAACAAAGCGAACCAGTTTTAGCCGTTGTAAGTAATAAATTCACAATAAATGAGGAAACATTCCCACATGGCGACACGCGCGGAAGAGCACAGCGGCCAAGCACGCCGCACCCGCCGCTTCTCCCGGACACCGCGCTCCCGAGCGGCGCCAGCCGTGTCTCAGCGATCCCGGCCTGGCCCGATGTCGCGATATGGCTCCGCTGTCTCAGCGCTGTCTCAGCGATCCCAGCCTGGCCCGATGTCGCGATATCGCTCCGCTGTCGCGACCACGCGGGACGCGGTGACCGGGACAGCCCCGGCGGATGCGTCACTTCTGGGAAGAGGCGCAGAACGGCCCCGAGCCGCGCGCCCCAGATCCCTCCGCGGCCGTAACCGCATGCGCTCGCCAACCGGGAAAGCCCGCCCCCCGCGGCGGCCGCGGGCTCTGATTGGCTCGCTAAGTTTGAGTGGCAGCGGCGCCTGAGGGGCCGAGCCCGCCATGTTGTGTGGGGAGCAGGCGGTGGCCCCGCCTTGCCCGAGTCCGGGGGGATCCCTCATGAGCAGTCCCAGATTCCCAGAGGTTGGGAAAAACCTCCTGCATCGAGTCCAAGCTGTGACGGAGCCCCGCCTTATCACCGGCCCACAGCACTGAGCGCCACGTCCACACCTTCCTTGGACACCTCCAGGAATGGTGACTCCAAACCTCCCTGGGCTGCCCCTGCCAAGGCCTGACCATCCTTTCCATGGAGAAATTCCTGCTGATATCCAACCTGAGCCTTCCCTGGCCCAGCCTGAGGCCGTTCCCTCTCCTCCTGTCCCTGTTCCCTGAGAGCAGAGCCCAATACCCCCTGGCAGGGACTTGTGCACAGCCAGAAATTCATCCTGAGCCTCCTTTTCTCCAGGCTGAGCCCCTTCCCAGCTCCCTCAGGAATTCTCCAGCCCCTTCCCAGCTCCCTCAGGATCCATGGGATCAGCCGTGAGGAAAAGGCCAAGGTGCTCGTGGTCTGCCCATCCTCCTCACGAGGTGTGGAGCAGCACCTTATTTGCGTAATGGTTACAGTAATTAATAAACTTCTCTAGTTTTACAAACACGTCTTTTAGAAAGGTCTCCACCATATGTTTGGTTTTTACCCTTCTTTTCCTATTATAGTTCGGGCTTCAGAGTCTATAACACAAAAACAGTGTTTCTTAAATGGGAGTAAAGCATTTAATTGGGAGCTGTTTTATGTGCAGGTTCATGACTCAGCAGGGATCCTGGATATTTGGAAAGGGCATTATTTATTATTCAGTTATTTGGAATAGTTCACCCTATTTTCCTGGCCCTTTGACAACCTCCCCTCCTATAGGCATGTGCTGTACAATCCCTGAGATTTTAAATACAATTTTACACGGAATAAAAAAAAAATCTCACCACCAACCTGGGACTGGCTTTTTAGAAACCTGGAACAGTCTTTGGAGCTGTGACAGCAGAGCCAAAAAATATCCTGTGAGCCCACAATGCTGGTGCTAAACACCTCTGCAATGGCAACAGCAATTTACAGCCCACGGAATGCACTGGAGATTAAAGAAATAGTAATAAAAGGAGAGCTGGGAGGAGCTGAATCGGTTCTCTGACCCTCAGATTAGCCTGAAGTGAAAATCCCGGGTTATGTGGTATTTGCAGAAGGCGAGCAGCACTTTCCATTTCCCCCCCAGGTACCGCTGTGTGCCAAGGGAAAGGAGGAAAAACGAGTCATGGAAGCAGCAGGTGTCAGCACAGTGGAATTTACCCACTTTTTTTTTTTTTCCATGCACACACCCATCATTTATTGCTTTTAATGCACTCCAGTTTTCCAGGTTACACTTTGATATTTCAAAAAGCTGGACAGATTTGTGCTTGCTGTTCTTACGCAGCTCAACCCTCCTGACCGTTCTTAACGATCCTTGACGTTTTAATGTGAATATTTTTGAACTTGATAAAGATGAGCAGTGTCTTGTCCCCTCGGCAGCAGGAGCAGTGCTTTGTTGCCAGGACACTGCTGGAAAATAGCATCAATCAATAATTGCTGCTTGAGTCATGATGAGGCATTAACCAGCCTGGTTCTCCTGGAGTTCCTTTGGCCTGGAACTCTGCAGGCCATGGAAATGCCTCTTTAAATCACTTATACACAAGTATAAACTGATTTTGTTTTTCCAGGTGTCTGATTGCAGCGAGAGACACCAAAGCTGGGTTATAACAAAAAGGAAAAGAGGAAACACCTCATGGAAAGCGAGTTTTGGATATCCCAAATGAGAGCCTAAATCCCCTCAGGATTTACAGGCTTGGCAGCAAATGTTTCCCAGAACAAAATACAAAAAGTTTCTTAGCAAATTACTACAAATTATAGTGTGCAATTACCTTAGCAGAAAGTAAAGGATTATTTTGGGAAAATAAGAATCTGTGATGACAGAAAAATCTGATTTCCTTAAAGAATGATGGCTGTAAGAAAGCAATGTGACAGGAATTTAGGCAGCAAAATGTTTTGACATGAGCTGATATTTAAAAGTCTCTGCTGTCATATCAAATAGATGAGACTAAAACAGGGCAGGATATGCTTAGATCAACTTATTGATCAATTTGTTAATTAAATTCTAAAATCTCCAAAGTAAAACATTAGCTGAAAGTTGATTTCTTTTTATTTCTATCAAGTTAGAATTTCTAAGTTTCTAATTTTCCAGTTAAAATTTATTTCTATCAAGTTTCTATCAATTAAGGAGATTGACTTTAATTTTTCATGCTGAATGTGATAAATTAACTGAGAATCTGGAATTCCCTTCCATCTCAGTGATATAAAAATCTGCATTATCAGCTGGAACAGGACTTCTGGTGGCAAGTACAACACCCACATGTGTCGAGTACTGGGTTTGCATTGATGTAAAAGTTTGGTGCCAAAAAAACTTGGCAGTGGGATTTATTCCAGCTGGATAAACAGTGTTTTGCTCTGCCAAATTATAACTTGAAGAGGAATTCGTTAGATACCTTTATGAAAGAATTATAGAGACTCCAATCTGGGGCTCTGAATGAACAGCTCAGAGGAACAAGGAGGATTATTTGAAATCGTTCCCAGAGGGCGAGTTCTTTAAGCTCTTACTCACTGGTTTTGAAAGAGAAAAGAGGAATTGAGCAGTGCAGTCACACCCTGCAGTTGGAACCGTGAATAACCGCCTGTGAAACCAGGACAGTTGGGATACACTTGGCTGTAAATGTTTCTCTGTTTCAGGTTAACCGAGCCTTTACCTTCCACTCCCCAATCCCTCCTTGCCTTGGTTTCAGCGAAATTCCTCTCGTTCCTTGTTTACTGCAGTGGAGGCAGCCTTGGTGACTGGCTTAAAGTCTTTATCAAGAAACGATTTAAACGCTGGTTGTGTATGAAAGCAACTTGGTTTTGTTTTGCCCTTTTTTCACAATTTTTCTGTCATCTAGAATGTAAAATTCACTGCAGAACTGGAAAATTGGTGCTCTTCAAACCTCATACTCAAGGCACAATACTTGTTGCCTTTTGTTTTCTAAGTAAATCTGAATTTTTGGGTTCTGTAGATTTTTCAAAAGTTGTAGTGCCTAAATGAAACCTCTTTCTCTCAATTCATGAGTTTATGGACTCAAAGCTTCAGGTTTCCCATCACAACACACACAAATCCCGTGAACTTCCATCAAAGCAGTGCAGAGCATTGAGAAAAGAAGGAATTAAGGAATACTCACAAGTATTAAAATCAGTTTTTCCTACAGACTGATGTTCAACAGCTCACCTCTTTGCAATAATAGTATTAATTTAAATAAACATTCAAATATAGCCGTTTGATGCATTTACAAATTGGGCTCCAGGCTTGAAGGCACTGAAATTCAATTTGTGTTTTCCAGCACACTTAAACTCAGCCCTGCTTTTCTCCTTGAGACACTCTGGTGTTCCAGGAAAAGCATGTGGAATTGGATTTATTGGATCTTATCAGGTCCCACTGAGGTGTAGATCAGCAGCAATAACAACCTTTAAGGCTGGATCTCTGGGCTTCTCTCTCTGGAGAGGTTGGGTGTGAGCAGTGGCAGCTCTTCCGCAGGGCGGCTGCGCATGGCCCGGCCACGAGCAGCTGGAATTCTGTGTGGGCAGCTCCAGAGGGTGGAAGGAGAGCAGGTGATTGTCCCGAGGTGTGACAGCCCTGTGGTGACATCTCTGCTGCCAGGTGGTTTCTGCTGAGCCCCAGCTTTGACTCAGCACTGCTGGTGACACCCGAAACCGAGAAGGTGTGACAGGAACAAACAGGCTGCTTCATGTCCCCGCGGTGGCACAGCTCCATCCTTTGGACAGCCGAGAATTGAAGGGTGTCAAACCCTTCTGGCCACCTTTGGGAACGGGGAGAAGAACACAGCCAGCCTGGGT